GAATACCCACTTCGTCAGATGCATGCGATCTGACGAAGTGGGTATTCACCCACGAAAGCTTATGCTCCAATACGTCTATTAGTCTATAAGGTGCCCCAGGACTCTTTGTCGCTTTTTATAGTTAGGTGTATACTTAAGTAGTTTGCTGAAGCGGGGCCTTAGTTTTCATGAGTGCACGGTGGGACTGTGAGATCCTATAAACCAATAACGCTGTAAAGGGGTCTGAGATACTCAACAGCAATAATAAATAACGCAGTAAAGGAGTACTAAGAAGATACTAAGGCTTGGTCTACGCTACCAATTTACGTCGGTGTAACTGTGTCACTCAGGGGTGCAGATTTTCCACACCCCGAGTAACAGCGTTACACTGATCTAACCCCCGGTGCAGACAGCCCTGTGTTGACAGGAGAGCTCTCCCATACCTACGGCCTCTCCGGGAGGTGGCTAAACTACACGGACAGGAGAAGCAACCCTGTAGCGCTGTAAATGTAGCCAAGCCCTGAGTAGGAGCGGTGGTTCCTCCTCCCTCCATAAGGCACTGGAGCCTGAAACAGGTGCCAGTGGGAGGCATCCCCCAGTCGGCTTCGTGCCGCAGTTCATCATCATCGTCGGCCTTTGCTAGCTCCAGGGCTTGTGACTAAGAGAGGGGGAAGTGCAATGCAAAAAGGCGGGGCAGGGAAACAGGACAAACCTTTCCACACACACAACCCCCCCGCACTGTCACCAAGCTTCTCCCCGGCTGCAAGAGACACGCAGGCCAGGCCCACGGCGGGCAGGGCGCCAGCGCGAGCCCCGCCTCTCTCCCGGCGGAGGCGGGTTGGCTGTCTGCGGCAGCCATCTTTGTTGATGTGTCAGCTCTTAGCTGCGCTCGGGAGCTGCCGCAGGAGGAGCAGGAGGAGGAGGAGGAAAGAGGGGGGGACCCCGCCGCAGCCATGGAGGAGCTGCCGCCGCTGCTGCCGCCCTGGCTCCCACCCTCCTAACCAGCGGGTAAGAGCTGCTGGCTGGGGATGGGGAGGCTTTGGTAATAATCAATGGGGTTGAGGCAGGGAGGGTTGAAGTGTAGGTCGGCTCGGGGCATTTCAGCCCCCTGTCTCCCTCCCCAGCTCTCCGTAGGGTGCCGGCCCTGCCTGATCGCTCGCTACACCCCCGTTATGCTCGCGTCGCTAGTTCCCCTCCCTGGTTTGCTGCTGGAGAGTTTCAGTCCCTGATGCTTAGGGCACTATTCCCCCCCCCCTCCTGCCCCCTTTCAGGAAGTGTTCACGGGGGATGCCTGGGGTGGGCCAGGGGATAGGCGCACACTGATGTTTTATGGTTGTCCAGCTTCTCTTGGCTAAGGATCGCGCAGCGCTTTATTAACGGGCTGGTTGTTGAAGTTCCCCTCTGCCTGGGAGTTAGGGAAACCTAGAGCTCATCTCAATTAATTGGGCTCTTACACTTGGTATGGCTACTTCCACCTCTTCATGTTCTCTGTATGTATACATATCTTCTTGCGGTATGTTCCAGTCTATGCATCCGATGAAGTGGGCTCTAGCCCACGAAAGCTTATGCTCAAATAAATGTGTTAGTCTCTAAGGTGCCACAAGTACTCCTGTTCTTCTTACTATAGCAACTGATCCAGGGACGCATACAAATAGAGGTCACGCAGTGACTGAGGAAGAGGGAACCCAGGAGTCCTGACTTTCTTGCTAGTCAGCATTCTAGGGATGCCTCTGTATACGTTCTTGAATAGGATCGTCACCGGTGATGCTGGTGTGAAGCTGTCTACTGGGTTGTCTCACAGTTTCGTACTTTTATTTCCTTCTCCAAAGTATCTAAAGTTATTAGGTAATAAAACCCTAAGGAGCTTTGATGTTTCTCTAAGTACTGAGAGCCGGAGCTGCCCCTAAATATGCATTGAAAACTGATCGTAAAATGGCAAGATTTAATTATTGCTTTAATAATAATAAATTATAAACTGGTTATTCTGTACAGTGGAAACTACAGCAGACAAAATGTACTTTGGGCTTTTGTGTGTGGTCTTTTCAATTGCTAGTTGCTATGAGATTTCAATGAATCTGTTGCAAAGGAATCCAGGTAGCTGTAGTTGGAGTGACATCAGTAACTTGTGGCCTGTGGGGGAGAGGGTCAAGTTTAGGAGAGGGGGAAAAAGCGAAATGAAGTTGAATACAAGGAGGTTAAAGTCCTGACGAGGCAGCTTCATACCATTTCCTCATTCAGAAGCTTTAAAATGTATAGCTCCTGCTGTGTATTGTTCGATTTCCCCCCCTCCCCTCATATTTGTTTTTTTTCCTCTGTGGAAAATGTTGATTATATTTTTACTGTCCTAATGCATCAAGTGTACAAAGCCTTCCCATTGTTTCTGCATTTGGTGCTTCTATTATACAATTGCAGTTTTTATGGTAAAACTATGTGAAGGCTACGGGATAGCTGACATGAAGGGATTTTTTTTAACCTTGCAGGATTACTGCAGTACAATATGTATTTTCCGCTTTTACTTATAAGATCTGTCTGAAGTTCCAGGTTTAAAAATGGGAGGTTTTACTGCAACACATGCGGGGAAAAATTCTGTTTGCATAATCCATATTTTTAGCTCTGATCCTGAGAAAGCAATCTACACAGGTGGACCCTTTAAACCCACACAGAGTTCCAGTAACCTCAGAGACATTGTGAAGACCTGGGCAGGTTGCTTTGCGGGATTGACTTTACACGTGAAGATCCCAATCCGCCCTTTTGTTTATTTTTAATACAGTATGCTTATTTTTGTTGTCTTGTTTACTTTCTCTTCTAGTAGAATTTCCTTTATGAAAGGTAAAAGAATAGTATAATACTAATAATGCAGCACTCATTACAAAAATCCCAGAGTGCTTCATAATATCACATTTAAAGATGCTAACTTTAAAGGGACATTATCCAGGTGAAATCTAGTTGGCTTTATAAAAATAAAGAATTTTAAAAAGTAATTTTATTTCCTTTGAGTCTTCCCTGCTAACTTCTGGAATAGAATACAGTCACATTTTCCTGCTTTGTTTTTTAAAACAATGTATATTTCTGTGCTGTTGCTCTTTGGAAGACCCTCATGAACAGGGGAAACTGATAAACTGACTATATAGGGGGAACAGTGAAACTGGCTATACAGAAGTGTGGACAAGTGTGCACTCAGTAGTCGCTTTTAAAATGTAAAATCTCATGCGCTCGTGGGAATTAGGATCATGTTTTCTTTCATAGGTTCTTATAGTTCCTAACTCCTGGGAGGACCTGAGATTTATATTTTAAAAGTGAATATTGTGTGCCCACTATACTACTCATCTTTAACAAACCTCTGTTAATGAATTTACCTTTAAAGCTTATTCACTCACCTGGGTCTCCTGAGCACTGATATTTTGGTCCCATCCACACTTTTAAAAGTTTGCAGGGGGACCTTGTTATAATATAGTAATGCTCCAGCACAGTTAACACATGAGTCTGACTGATCAGTATATATGGAACAATACCGTATTTCAACTGTTCTGTAACTTTGGACTTGCGGGGTTGTAGCAACTTTTGGAGACTCCTTTAATTAAAAACCCATTTTAGTACACACTGGCTCAACCCAGGACTTAGTCCAGTGGTTTTCAACCTGGGAGTCTGCGGACCCCTGGGAGTCTGCAGACTATATCTTAAGATTTCAAAGGGGTCTGCACCTCCATTCAAAATTTTTTAGGGGTCTGTAAATGAAAAAAGGTTGAAAACCACTGACTTAGCCAACTCAGGATGCTACAGTGTTGTAACTAGCAATGGTGGGGGGGAGCTCTCACATAGACAGGTTATTAGGGGTTAATTGGCACTTCAACAACCGAGTCATCCACCCCTGCCCAGAGCAGGTCTGGATGACATGGTAGCTAAAATGCTGCAACTGCAGCAAGGCTACACTAGGGCTGTTGCCAGTGAAGCTGCACTGGTTTCAGACATGGGTGGCAGAACAGTATAGAAAAGACCAGATTTGGTTAGGAATGTGTCAGTTTAGCTAGGAGGGTGCTAGGTCTTTTCTACACTGGGAAAATTAAGAAATATGTTTCTGCACTGCTGCAACTCCCCCAATGAAGGATTGTTTATCTGATTGTCCCTCCCCACCCTTTCGTATGCAAGCCTTTAGATCTTAAAGGCTGTTTTCAAACCCTGTTTAAAGATTACTGTTTTTGGGCCCCAGGCCAGTCCCCTTGCTAGGATTGTAGGATTTCTCCCCCTCTTCCACCCTCCCCCCCCCCGACAATATGAATAGATCCACTTTGACCATCACATGTACACTAACCTTGGAACCAGATAGACTAAATATTAACAGACTCTGGTTGCCCAGTGACTCGCATTGTAATTGTAACAAATCCAGCCCCAATGGTAAACCTAAACATGTTCAAGTTTATCTTCAGGTTGAGCTGTGATTGGTTTCACTGCCAAAACATCAGTCAGATCACAATATGATGCCTTTGCAAGATATGGGGAAAAACTCAGAGGTACGTCAAAGGAATCATGTAAAAAATATACACTAAGGTAATGCACAAGTTGTGACACAAGCAAAGAAAACCCGGTTAAAGGAGCGTATCTTGTTTTTCAATTCCTTTAGAATGAGTCATAGTGCTTTGAAGATAGACAGTACTGAGTTTTGCACCTCAGCACTGAAATGGAGCAACCTGCAACCATTAAAATCTATTAGATATATATATATATAAAATAGGATTAAAAACAATTAAATAAAAATGATAGTCTGATACTCTCAATTTCCTTGCTTTTATGTACGCTGCCAGTCTACCCTTATCCTTCCCATCTGTTGAAGCTTAGTGCTCATAGCACAGTGAGGCCTTGTCTACACAGAGAGCTGTGTCAACTTATATTATTGTGTTTAGAGCACTGTTACAGCCTTAATATACAGTAGACTTTTCCATTCCTGTTACAAACAGAATTGTGCCCTGACCATGGTTACAATCCTCTTTGACTTTCCCTGTGTAGACAGGCAGCCTGTAACACAGTTTGGCTCCACCTCCATGAGCCAAGTAAGTGATGTTTGGAGTAACTATGGTTAGGACCAGTGTCTTACAGTAGCAATTTTTGAGAAATCTCCCACTTTTGCCCTACCACTGAAGGGAGTGCTAGTGTAGACAGAGCTCAGGTGGTTTTACTGCCATGTTGCCTAGACCTGCACTGTCTAAATAGTAATAATGGTAATAAACTACTTATCTCAATCAAACAGGGAAATAGAAAGTTACACTATATTAAGTAAAGACCTTTAAAACACAGATTTTAAACATGGTTTAGATCAAGCCAAACCATGTTAGAAACCATCTTATCTTTAATCCTGTTGAGCCATGTTTGAGTTGAGCTCAAGCACTTTTCCTTAATGGTGCTTAAATACTTGTATACCAGTGCAGAGAGGCATATTCTACTCCTGTTCCGTGCACGGAACAGATCAGGGGTCGGCAACGTTCGGCACGCGGCTCGCCAGGGTAAGCACCCTGGCGGGCCGGGCCAGTTTTATTTACCTGCTGACGCGGCAGGTTCGGCCGATCGCGGCCCCCACTATTTAGTACACAGAACTAAACTACAACTTTATTTTACATGGTGTCTTTCATACAGACTCTGCTCTGAAACAATGGGATGGAACTTAGTACAGGATTGCTGGCTTTATGTTGGAAATCAGCAAGCAAAGTGAATGCTGCCAAGTGGTACAATAATATGATCAAACTAGCTGTCCTGGAAAGAATTGCATGAAGCGCAAGAGGCGGCAGAAACAATTCTTTATTTTAAACACGCAGGTTCTCAGACTGCTGTTCGTGGACCAGTGACTGGTAGCTAGTTGATCACAGGGTGATGTCTCTGTATCTTGTTTCGAGCTTTGAAATTCCATTAGAACATCACTAAAATACATTAAAGACTTTCCCCATATTATCCTTCTGTGTGAGCAATCGCTGTAATTGCCACAGGAATGTTACACAATTAGGGCTAGGAATAAGTGGTCA